GGAGGGATTGAGCGAGAGGGTAATGATTGAGCTTTCTAAGTACATGGCTTTTGGTTGCTCAATGTCTAGTTTTATAGGAAGAGCCTTAGCATCCTTTTCGTCTTCTAAGGTAATGGACATTTGGTTGCTTTTGTTTTCCTTGGTTGCCATTTGGCTAACATGCGCTAGAGGGGGGATATTGCCATATCTAGGGAGTAGATTTTGTTCATTCCCTTCGGTTAACTTAAGATTATGGCTAGATTTTTGTTTAAGAGTGTTAATAAGTATAGTAGGGTTATAATTATTAGAAGGGTTAGTTTTATCTGTTTGGGTGTCATTTTGCATGGCACCGTTTTTATCTATTTTGTTTACCTTAGTAAAGGCCACGTTAGAGTCCAGCATGTTAATATCTTTGTTTTGAGTGGCCAAGTGTTCACTTTTATGGCTATTAGTGGTTTTTAATAGGTTATTAAAATTATCATTAGTGGTTTCTTGTAAAACCGTTTGCTTAGTGTTTAGGAGAGAAAAATGGTTTTTAATAGGAATAGTGGTTTGTTCCTTAACTTTATTGGTCAGATTATTAGCATTTGCAGGTGGTATGGAGTTGATGGGATCTTTAGACTTGTATTGTAATATTTGGCTATCCAAATACTTATCTGTATTGGCATTAAACAGCTTGACAGAGATACCTGGGCCATTGGAGTTTTTGGTTGGATTATTGATGAAATGAGAAGTATTTTTTACTCCTTACTTTCTTCCTTTATGGAAGGAGAGTGTTTTCCATTCTGCTTCTAGATCTTCTATTATTGTAGTAGGTTATTGTTCCTTTATTGGATGTTTAATATCCTTGCTTGTTTTATGTATATAACCACACTGTCCCTGTGTGTGTCCAAATCTGTCACACTTTTTACAAAGGAAATTTTCACCCTCATAATGAATATATTGTTTATGGTGGCCAACATATAGGAAAGGTTGAACTGGAATTTCTAGAGGGATTTCCACACAAATTCTTGCATAGCGACCCCTTAGTGTTGTTGATGTACAAATATCAATTTTAAGTAGAAGTCCTATTGCATTTCCAATCTTCTCAAGGATCTTGCCATCATAAAATTCTGTTGGCAATTGAGGGAGCCTAATTCATATTGCCGAGGTAGTTAACTTTTCATTTGTAGCCACAAAATTTGGTTTCCATCTTGAAATGGATAGAAAGTGGTCATTGCTGAACCATAGTCCTTGATGGATAGCTTTATCCATATTTTCCTTTTTTTTGAATTTTATTATATAGTAATCCTATCCAAGATCAATTAATGAGAATTCTTCTGTTGGCTTCCATAACTCTTGGATCTTTTTCTTTAAATAATGGTGTAGCATGCATTTCCCCACCAGCTTAATTATGATAGAGCATTTCCATGGCTCATAAATTCGTTGTCTATCTTCTTCGGTTAGAGATATTCTTTTAATGCCTCTTACATTGAAGTTTGATGCATGATCGAACTCTTCCTCTTCTAGGGAGGTTGTTGTTAGGTCTGTGTCAGCCTGGTCCAGATTTGGGGTGGAAGTCATTTGGCTAGAGGCAGTTAACATATCCTTGAATGAGGATTTGTTCTTCCATTCATTTTGAGTGGGTTTCTCATGAACAATATCTAGGGGTTTGGATGGAATATTGGTTTCAGCTTCATAGGGTTGAGGATTCATGGTAGGGAACTTGAGAGTTGTTCAATTAGAGTAGTGTTACTTTCGGTCTCTTTAGCCGCGTCACATCAAAATTATTTAATGGGTCCTTGTTGTATATATATATACACACACACAATTTTTGCCGAGGCTAATGAGTTCCGATGACCCTCCTACTCCTCATGTAGTCGGAAGTATAATTCTTTATATTTTGCGATATATATATATATATATATTTAATTGGGCGTTCTTGAAAGACGACATATAAAGAGGGAAAAGGAACTAAGTTAGAAAAAAACTGATCACTTGCAATAAAAATTCAATAAAACTAGAACATGTTAATGCTTCTTCATCAGTCTCTTATTTTACCATAATACTCTTTTTGCTACTAATAAAAAATTCACCAAAGAGTCTTAGGGAACAATAGAATAATTAAAATTGTATATAATCCTAATTAAGAATTAACTCTAACTACTATAGAAGATTGTGCAATATGACTAAGGACATTTGGGACCTCCTTCCTTAGTCTTCCAATTGTGGTAACAAAGACATGTTTCTTTGTTGCTATAAGTTCCAGGAGGCACACACAAGCACTTTGCACAACATTTTTTACACAAAAATAAGTATGGCTTTTTGTGTGAATAACGCTTTCTTGCATGGTGAATTGAGAAGTTTATATGAAGTTCCCAGCAGGGGTTGAACCCCATTGATTAAGGAAATCTATGTATGGGCTTCGTCAAGCATCCAGACAATGGTACGCATGACTTACAGCAGTCCTGAATTTCAAGGAATTTTCTCATTCGTTGAATGATTATTCTTTATTTTTTAAAAGGTCGGAATCCTCTATATCTATTGTGGTTGTGTATGTAGACGACATTCTATTGACAGGGAATGACATGGATGAATTACATGAATTAAAGATGTTTCTAGATTAAGAATTCAAAATAAAAGATCTCGGGGACTTACATTTCTTCCTTGGTATGGAAGTTCTTCGTGAGGCAACCGGATTGATTCTTTGTCAGAGGAAATTTACTCCAGGTTTGCTAGAGGAATTTGATTCTCTGCATTGCTCCCCTGTTTCCTCTCATCTTGATCCCACTGTCAAATTGCTTGCCAAAACAGGGGAATCCCTTCTTTCTCCAACTTTGTACAAGCATCTTTCGGGTAAATTGAACTATTTAACTCATACTTGACCAGATCTTTGTTTTGCAGTACATTATTTGAGTCAATGCAGGATCCAAGAAAGCCCCATTTGCATGTTGCTCTTCATATCCTACGGTATATGTTGAAAGACCTAGGTTTGGGGATTTTCATGACAGCCTCCCCGTCATTTCAACTCATCGCTTTTTGCAACTTAGATTGGGGAACTTGTACAAAAACAAGGAAATCAATGAGTGGTTTCTTCATTTCATTTAGAGGGTCTCCAATTTCATGGAAATCGAAGAAGCAGACTTCCATTTCTCTCAGCTCAGCAGAAGTGGAATACCGTTCTATGCGGCGTGTAATAGCAGAATTGACATGGTTAGTACGCCTCTTTAAAGATCTGTCTATCCCCATTTCTTTGCCAATACCACTCCATTCCGACAGTCAAGCAGCGATTCATATCACTAAAAATCCCGTCTTTCATGAACGAACTAAACACATAGAAATTGATTGTCATTTCGTGAGACAACAATTTCTTGCTGGCTTGATTTCTCTTTCATTTGTTCGATCTTCTTCTCAGCTGGTAGATTTGTTCACTAAACCGTTAACTGGACCTTCTCACCACAATTTATTGGGCAAGTTGGGTGTTCTTTCATCCTCCTCCAACTTGAAAAGGGGTGTTGGAGATGGTGGTTCTAATGGTGGTAGTGGTATTTCTCTCGAAGGTTCCACTGTGGTTCAAGGTGGTTAGTTCTCGTATGTTTATCTGATGTGTTTGTTTGGTCTCATTATTAGATGTGTTTATCAGACATATATCAAGTACAAATATTGGGCTAAAACTTCAACTGACTACTTGGGCTCAAAGCTTCAGATATACTTGTTGGGCTCTACATGTTTTGGGCCTGTTTAGAAGAATTGTATTGAGTAGGGGTTTTTTATTAGCTGTAAATATTGATTCCATGTTTCTTAGTTTGTTATAAGAGTGCAAATAGAATAGGGACAAGTGGATAGGTTAGTTATACATAGATTCCATTCTTTCTTGTTTATATAGGGCACTGTACAAATTACATGAATCCAATATACACAAAAAACTTTTTCTACAAGTTTTTCTTTCAATTCTGTGAGTTTCTACCACTAGTCCTAACATCAGTTACTTATTATTCGGAAACAATTTAATTCTAAATTTCTCACTTTATTCTTAATAACTTTAAATTTCTTATTTTAAAAATAAAGTATAATTTTTTTTTTTTTTGCAATCTATTTATATATTTTACTTAAAAGGCATTCGTCAAAGACAAAATAAAAAGGAGAAAAAAATTTAAGCTAGAAATAAACTCACTTTCAATAAACATTCAATAAATTGGAACATGATAATACTTCTTCATCAGTCTCTTATTTTACCATAATACTCTATTTGCTACTAAGAAAAAATTCACCAAAGAGTCTTAGGTAACAATAGAATAATTAAAATTGTATATAATCCTAATTAAGAATTAACTCTAACTACTATAGAAGATTGTGCAATATGACTAAGGACATTTGGGACCTCCTTCCTTAGTCTTCCAATTGTTGTAACAAGGACATGTTTCTTTGTTGCCATAAGTTCCAGGAGGTACACACAAGCACTTTGCACAACATTTTTTACAGAAAAATAAGCATGGCTTTTTGTGTGACGTTGCTGAGCATCTGTACGTACACTTCGGTTCGCAATCTGTTATAACACAACATATAAAACTAAAGTTACATAATATTATTATTTCCTATCTATCCAGCGGCAGAGTCAGAATTTTTATTAAGAAGTGTCAAAATATAAAAAAAATACACACACAAAAAAGTCAGGAAATCAACATATAGTAATATATATAAATATATAAGAAAAATTACCGAGCTACACAACATAAATATACACCCCTTGGGATAAGGAGGCTCCGTCACTCTATACCGTTTATCTTCACCTTACATTACAAGTCTTATTTAATTAATATTTCATTAATTAGAACAATAAGGATAGATCTAGAGAAAAATAATAATTCTTCGTTTTTTTTTACAAGAAAAATTAAATACAAATTTAATATGACTTCCTTCTCACAATGTATGTGTGTATTTTTTTTTCACCATGTAATTTTTCTACTATCTTATAAGTGAGAGTTAGCAGAGAGCTCTCCGTCAACATATGTCTGCTTGTTGACGAGGGTAGTTTTGGTAATTTAAGTTGAGTTCGTTATTCTAATTGGTCGACATAAAATGTTATTGTAGCAGCTTTGGTTATCTTTCTTTGTGCTGACATTTTAGCCCTGAACAGTGGACCTCATCTGCACTTCTTAGTCATCACACTTCATTATGTATTTGCTTTTATGGTGGACACGTGGTTATAGTGATAGAATTATCTTCTCTCTTGCCTATTATCTACTCTCTCTATTTCTAACTAATGTTTTATTGCTACTTTAATAATGAAAATAAATTTCCTTACTGAAATAAATGATATGTTGCAAATCTATAACTATAAAAGATTAACCAATGTTATTAAACATTCATAAATCACAATCCCTTTTTGTAGCTTATTTATAATTAGCTTAGCAGACATCACAAATCTTTCAGTATTTACTAATTAAAAAAAAATAATGCTTAATCATAAATTTATTTAAAAATTTATAACAAATTTTAAAAACTAAACTTTAGATGGAAAATTTCAAGAGAAACATACAAATTACATGAGAAGAAAAACTAGACTTTAGATGGAAAATTTCAAGGGAAATATACAAATTATGTGAGTAACTAACAATATTAAAAACATTTAAAACTAAACTCTAAATAAATATTTTAATATATAGATTTTTTCCACTGCTAGGCGTTGGATTAAAGAAAGTGTAATCTTAGGGTTCATTTAGTTCACAAACAAATTATATTGAGATTATACTACATGAGTCTCATTTGTATTTTTCAGTTTAATTAGTAAACTAACACTTTCTTATTAGTACTTTTTTTTCAATTCCAATGCTATATAGGATTCATAATATCAAAGTAGACAAAGAAAATTCACATGTAACTACTACAGAATTCTCTATCTGTTTTGAACATTGAAAAAACTAAAGATGCTTGTCATGTTACTCATTTCCTTCAGTCTAATTGTTTGAGGATAAATTATTAAAGTCAATAACGAAATGCATACATCTTTACTTTTTCTCGAAAATAAAATTTATAAATCTCAAAGTGAAGATTTAAAGGATCACTTAGTTAAATAATTCTTACATTAATGCTATTAATTAGTTAACTTTTTTAATTATATATGTCAAAACTTTAACCGGTACTTTTTGAATAAAGACAACATTACTGGAGAACCTAGGCACAATTATTTTGAATAACTACATATAGATAAAAATTTACTCATGCTATAAATAGGACTCAATCATGTGAGCTCTTTCTGAAGTTGGAGTCAAATAAATATAAAGGTTGGCCTTATTATATATAAAAAAAAAGAAACAAATCATTTTAAGCATGTCTTTAATGCAATGAACATTTAAGTCATTTAATATATATTTTATAATTTAATATGAGAAGTACTTGAAAAGAAGCTTACAAAGAATATTATGAACATCAAAAAATAACAAAACCACGTCCAATATGTGAATTACTTTGTAAGTAATATTAGGAAAAAACAAATAATATGCACCAATTAGGCCTGAGCTAATATAAGTGTCTTGAACAAGTGACACTTATAACTTCTTTAATGACACAATCATCTATGTATGCATAATTCTTTTAATGCTTCGGGAAGAAAGAATTAAAACTTAATAAAGACCTAGCTCGATAATCAAGCAATAAAATTAGATATAACCTCTCACATCAATGCTACTAATCCAATTGGTCTTGTCAGGAGTACGAGTTATTTTATTTCTGTCTAACAAAATCAATTTATATTATTATTTTTCGCATAACTATCTTTGAACTAAATGACCTCTAATGAGTTGTTTGATATGAGGTACAAGAAGGTATAAGGGTAGTATAAAAATTTAATACCACTTTAATACTTTATTTGGTTAGCAAACCGGGTATAAATTATTCCGGTGTTAATTTTAACACCGGGATAATTTATACCTTATAGAAGGTGGGGTAATTAACATCAGTACAACTTATACCTTCTTTGTAGAAATTATGCAATTGTCATTGTTAATATAACATACCAAACAATGAATAAACAACAACCCCACATAACTTATCCCAATATAACTTATACCGGCATAACTTATACCGGTATAAATCATATTCCAACCAAACGACCCCTAAATATATAGTGGCGATATAGTAGTTTATAGAAGCCTATGAAAAAGTTACTACACTATAACTTTAAAAGTTTAATATAATTAGGATTTGTTGATTCATTCCCCAATTTTCTTCGATGGTTGATTTTGAGACTCAAATTATACCCGGCGTATCTATAAATAAAGAAGCTTATTTTGATTTATAAAAAGTTTACATAAGAGAAAATGGAAGATGTTACCAGGATAATAAAAGTGTTGAACTCATAAAACACTATTATAGCCAAAATTAAAAATTCAAATTGTGTTAAAGCTAAACATAACGTATAAGTATATTTGAAGGATTAAAATTTATATTGGAATATAGGTGCTTATAGTTTGAAGTTAAAATGTAGGGTGTAAAATTTAATGTAACATTTAAAATTAAAATTAGAGTTTAAAATTTAAAAATTAACGTTTAAGGCTCATCATTAGAATGCAGGACTTTGACTTTTGCATTTTTATTTAGTTGAGAAGGATAATCTAGGGGTTGAGTTGAGTTTTTTGCCCCCCTTAATTAATTATATGTTTCTTACACTTTTCACTTAAAGTGTTGCTGTAAGCATCTGATAATAATTAATGCTGGGTCTTTCGCACTGGGGCATGACTAAAACTGAATTTGCGCAGAAAAATCCAAACTTTTAAAATAGTTCTACACCCATTGTCACAAACAAATGACAAAAGAAGAACAAAATGGAAATCTACAAACCAAAAGGTTAAAAAGTGGCACTTCCCCGAGGAGGAAAAGAACCCTTTTGTTAATTAGTTTAACGGTAAAGCTGAAGAAAAAGAAGAAATAGAGAAACTATATACCTTCAGGACGGAGTTTCTTATAACCCTGCTCAAATGAAGAAGGAAACAAGTTTTAGATTAACACGGTGTTAATCAAGATCCTAAATTGATTAATTTTAATAATATATACCAATATTGTTTACCTCAACCACATTGGAGAAAGTGGTCAATATCAAGAACATTGACAAAAGCAGCAACAACTTAGCACTGTAAGCCATATCTCTTCAAAGGATTGACTATATTGCAGTGAATAAAACAGAAGATCTAAGCAGGAAAGAGGAGATATTTGTGAAGTTGAAAGAGTAAATTGTGTATATTTATAGAGGGTTTTCCTAGGGACGAAAAAGAGAAAATATTGGCGATATTTAGGGTCAATTGGTAAGATAAGTCCATCTTAGAGATCATGAAAAAGTAATATCTACATGCCTTTTCCGTTACAGCTTGTCTAGATGCTATTACATGTCGTTTTTAATAATGTATCGTATTATATTATAGTGTATTGTACGCTCGGATAGATAGTATAGTTTGTCATCGTTTCATGATGTCACGCACCAACTATATGAAGAATAAACTTGCAACATTACTAAGAAAAAATAGGGTATGGAGTAGAATTATTAAATAAAAAAGTAGGGTAAGAGATAAAATATGATTATTTAATAATAAGGAAGGGCAAGATGAGAGAAAAAAGCAATGTAATGATGCCACCACACCAAATCCATCGTTCCATGAAGTGGCACTTTTCCTCGTTGCGTAACGACGGGTTTATCAATACGATACAATAAAATTGAAGTAACAATCAAAACAAACATTGCATTTTGTGAGCATGTGATTTTTGCTTCACGGGAAATTACTCCAAAAGAAATTAAAAATAAAAAAATAAAAAAAAAGTTACGTTCGGATATAATTTTTGAGAATTTGCGTGACATTTTGGTAATTATTTTTGTCCGTAAATGTTTACCTTGTTTTAGTTATTTAAAAATACAAAAAAATATAGGTCGCATGCATACTTAGGATTTAATTGTGCATTTAGGAATCAGTTAAACCATAATCTTGGTTTGTAAGGCGGAAATCACACAAAATATGCATTTTTATTCTAATTGTCGTCATCATGTGATTTTTTTTAAACGTTTTAATTTGTGTGTTAATTATTGTTGAATGTTAATTAATACTTGTGTAGTTTAATTTTGGTTTTAATTTAATTAGGAATTTTTGTTTAAATTAAAAGAATGGAAGGGAAGGAAAATATCGGATTTGCGCCAAAATCCGTTTGAAAACCAGGCCCAATTCGTTACACTGACCCGGTCCACGACCTGGGTTCCCAAACGACGTCGTTTAGACGTATTTGATCTAAGCCGTTCATCTCACTTCATCTAACGGCTCTAGGCTTGCCCCAGATACCCGACCCACTGGTACCCGGATCGACCCAATCCCCACAGGGACCAAAACGACGTCGTCCCTTTTAAGTAGAAAGATCAAGACCGTTGATCATCGATGATCCAACGGCCAAGATCAAACTACTCCTCCCCGTATATAAGCCTGCCCCCTTCACCCCGCGCCCTAAGTCAGACCCCCCCTCCCTCATCTTCGTCTCCCTCACCAGACCCAAACCCCACGAAACCCTAGCGCTGCCCCCCTTTCCCTTCACCGTAAACCCGGCGGCAACAATGCCGGTGACCCCCAGACTAACACCCCTAGGCCACCTCAACCCCCTGAACAAGGATCTGTTACCCCCTTGCCTCGAATTATTCCCCATCGCCTTGAATGTTCGTTTGAAGGTTCGAGCAAAACCCCGATCTACACCAACCTACCCCAGATTCACACCAGCCGTTACCCTAGCCTCACTCGTGACCAAACCAAGCTTGGTTTGGTCCGAATCTTCCCACAAATCCCAAAACCCCAAATCTGACTGTTCGAACCCTAGAACACAAGAACTGTGGGAATCCGGTCAGTTTAAACGAAGGGTTGGGGTCTAATAGACCTTAATCGAAGTGTTCTCGTCTGAGAACACCTCGATTAAAGTCTGTTCGACCCCAAAATGGGCAAATCCGGTCAAAGCTGGGGTCGTCTGTTGTTAAGCTTTCAGAGTGAGTTTCTTTTTTCTTTTCTACAGCATGTTTAATTAATTTGTTTGATATTTCTGACATGTTCTTTCAATCCCCCCCGTCTTCATGAGACCCTTTTATTTGGTCGAGTTTTTCTCTGTTTTTACTGATTGGGTGTATGTGTGTAAACTATACAATCGACTGAAAATGAATTTGGTCGATTAATTAGTTCCGGGTTTAACTTTGTTTTGTCAGTGCAATTTGAACCCCATGTTAATACTGTTCGACTTGGATTCATTTGCTATTGATTGTGCGTATTGTAATTCACATAGTCGATTCGATATACGTCGTCGATTAGCTTTAGTTTGGAATGATAGTAATCTGACCCATGCTGTTTAAATTCTTGCTAAGGCATTATTTGAATCAGTTGAGAATTGATTACAATTATTTGTTAATCTTTTAGTTGAGTCAGAAATCATTTAAGGATTGTTTATAGCTGCAGTTTAATATGGGTTTAGTTTGAATTGATGACATGTTTACTCATTTTGAGTTTGGACAGCATGTGCATTATAGTCCTTTAATGAATTAAAGCAAATTTGACAGCATGTGCTGTCAGGACATACTCATGCTGCCCATATTTGCTTAATTTAATAAAGATAGACCACTTTAACAATGAAAAAGGGGGCTGTCAGGGGAATCTCATGGGAGGGGCTTTTTATTTTAATCTATTTAATGGAAAAACAGGAGGAGAACATGGGAGGGGGTTCAGTTGTTTAACAGGTTATTTGAATGGGCTGATGCTTGGCTATAAAAACAGAAGGTTTCCATTAGTTTAAAGGGGAGTTCAGAGAAAACAGAGAAAAAGAAAATCCTGGCTGCTTCATTGAAACTGAAAATTCTGTTTTTTCCTCACCATTTTCTCTGTCGGAAATTAGCATTAACACTGCTATTTGTTTTGTCAAAACTTAGGTTCCTCCCTTTGAGTGTCTGAAAATCAGAAACTGTGTTCCATTATTGTGTCGGATTCACCTATTACCTGTTGATTAACATTGGAATTTCCTGGGTCTCAACTGAGCCTTTTTGAGTCTTTTACCTGGATATTGGGTACTGTTTCATTGAGTTACTGCTGGTCTATTCTGCATGGGGGTGCTACTGCTGCTGTATTTGTTGTTGTTGCTGCTATTCTTTGTTACTGCTGCTGACTTCTCCACCTTCTTCTTCTTCTTTGCATTTCAACATCCAGGTACACACCAGAATTTCACATTGTTGTAACAGTGAAAGCATGAAATGAAAGATGCGAAGATGTTTAATCATTTGCTGCAGTAATTACAGCTTTTGTTAAATGTTGTTAGATTTGTGTAACTTGCTAGGTTGTAACTCAATAGCATAATACAGTAGGTAGTTTTTGTACTTAATTGAAGCTTAGTCTGTTTAAGTATTGTGATTTACAGTTGTTTGGTTATACGAATGATATAATCATGCAATTTGTGGAATGCACGAGTAGTTGGCATATTGATAACTAGATTTCCTTTCAGCTATATGTTGTATGTATAGGGTAGAATGCTTTAACCTTGCCGAATACAATGTAGTTTTAATCTTTTGAGTTTTAACTTTATCGGGTCCCGTTAGGCAGTTTATAGGACCATGTTCGAATCCCATTAGTAGCAGCTTCTAGTAGTTAATTCTATCAATCTAGTTAAATAAGTTAGCTTAAATTCAAACTCGAAGGATGTTTAGCGTGAGCTTAGCATGCTATTTACCTTGTATGCAATTTCTTTTATCAAATTAAAAGCATGTTCAATAAGGTACAAAAATTCCCCGCTTCGCAGATAATTAATAAGAACCCGGAGTTGGCCAAGCATGTAATTTAATTAGCATGTATTTTCTTTCTTCCATTTTTAGAGACAAACATAATAGAAAAATGTAGTCGTTGTAGGTTTATCCTTTCAAAATGAGACGAGCCTCGCCAAGTATAGATGCAAATTGCGGGGCCCTCAACAAATTGGTTGTAATAAATATTTAGATTTCTTGGGATGAGCCGCTTAGTGAACTTCACCGCTTTCCCTAAAGATAATAAACGCGTTGGACTCTTTAGGCGCGATTTAATTAAATTACATTCTTAAATTCGGGTGCGCATTTATGCGACCCAAATCCCAATCTCAGCGGAGTCGGAGTGTATTAACAACCACGGGTGCATTGATTGTGACGTGGTTCGAAATACATTTTCACGACGTTGCAATTCTAAAAAAACAGAATGATAATAACAAAAGCGGTTTAAACTTAATAAAAGCACATAAGTCACAACATGTATTTAAATAAGATATTTAGCCATTATAACAATTTAAGCGACCGTGCTAGAACCACGGGATTCGAGGGTGCCTAACACCTTCCCTCGGGTCAACAGAATTCCTTACTTAGAATTTCTGGTTCGCAGACTTCATTTGGAAAGTCGAATATTTTCCTCGATTTGGGATTCAAGATAAACCGGTGACTTGGGACACCAAAAGCCAAACTTTTCCCAAGTGGCGACTCTGAATTAAATAAATAATTCCATTTCGAATATTGTCACTTAAATTGGAAAAAAACTCCCTCGCGCATTTACCCTTCGGGGCAAGCGCGCAAAAAGGTGGCGTGACACATTTAAAGTAACAATACGATACAATACGGTAATTAGCAACCATCCAAAGAAGCTATTACTTCTCATAATTCGTTAAATTCTTAAACACAAAAACCACAGTAAAAGTCCAACTAATATTTCAGAACTATATTTCCACTGGAACAGGCAGGGGTAAGATCTCGTACACACTACCCTCCCCAAACCTCGCTTGTGGGACTATACTGGGTATGTTGTTGTTGTATACTTTCACAGGACCATTTTTTGGAGGAATATGAGCCCGTTTGGCTTAGCTGATTTAGAGTAGCTGATAAGCATTAGGTGTTGAAAAGCACTTTTAAGTGCTGAAACTGATTTAAAAATAAGCAGTTATGTATTTGGATAAAAGTGCTGAAATTAATAATAATCAGGTGAAGAACTAGGTATACAAAGAGTTTTGTTTTAAAAATAAGTATTTTAGGGATAGAATAGTAAATATTTTGGTCAAACCTAAAGTGCTTATAAGCTAAAATTTAATAAGTTGGGGGAGACCAACTTATGACTTTTGGCTTATTTTTGGCTTATAAGCACTTTTAATTTTGCCAAACTCGTAGATAAACCAAAAAGTACTTATAAGCCAGTTTGACCAGCTTATAAGCTTAGTCAAACACCCTCTGTACCTCTTTTATGAATTGAAATGAGTATAGAACAACTCTTCAAACTGGTGCGCAACCTGATCAACGCGAATTATAACGGGATACAAATAAAAAGAAGACAAACTTCCAACAACTACCAACCTAGCCAACAGCAAGAACAACTGGTTTATGAAGTTGGCACACTTCATATTTCAGCCATGCTCTAAAAATGACAGTGTCCTCTGGGAAAATTGATCAAAAGTAAAGAGAAGAAAAGATTCATTGATGTTGATGGTACGACCGGCGGGTGCCCCAATAACCAGCATACTATCCAAGAAACTGCGCAGTTTAAAATCGTTCCTTTCAGTTACCTGTTTACCTGAGGTACAGAACGAATGGCTGGGACCTATATTCATAAGATTGGGACCTCTGCACTTTCCTCCCTACTCTAGAACTACACAAATAGGGACAACTGCATATTTCTAATACATAACATAATCAGTTCACATTGATACAATTGTTTCTCTGCGTTCTGTTACTAAAAGTGATCAGAAATGCATTCTCTTTTTTCATTTTTGATAAAGAATAATACTAATGTTCTGTTCTTCTCCTAATTTCTACAGGTTAGCCAAACCTAGCAAGAAAACCTCCCATCAACTTGTATCTCAGTTGGACAATGAATTGCTGCAAAAATATTCAGGGCGGGAGGTAGGGCCTCATGTCATTATGTTTTGCTGCCAATGCCACATACCAACATTTGAAAGTGATACATGATATAATCGCTAGCCTACAGGCCCTACACGACGACATCATAGCATCCTATGAGCACACACTGCGTGTAACTGTCTTTTCAAATTTACAGAATCTTGTGTCTCTATTATGCAATCAATCACATGATGTAAAGCATCGCAATCACAAAACTCCACTTAGACATGGTAGGTTTTTGCATTCCCTTTAAACATGTTTGTAAATTGATACCTTTAGCAGTTGCCTACGGATATCAATGGATCAAATGCAGGATTTAAATAGTCACAAGCCAGAAGACTCCCATATATGTCAAGGAAATATCTTCTTTGCTAACATTTTACAAAATTTCTTCAACAAAAAGTAGTAATACTACAATATGGGAAAAACTTCTAAGGATATCTAATCTAAACTCAGACTAAAAAAAGTTAGCAGAAAATTCCATATACAAGTAATACATTTACTCATTAACTTTGAAGAGATTGCTCGAGCACCAACCTCAAACGACGCGCCAATACATCCAACTCTGCAACTCTTTGTTCCTTCCACCTCTCCTCAAACTTGTCCAAATTTTCCTCTTTCAAAAAACCACCATTCTTATAATCTTTCAAACACTCATCAAACACATCCATCACCACTTTTGCAGCAATCTCCCCAATACCACATCCTATCCCAACCCGAACCGGACCATCCAAACAACTACACCTGACTTGTTTATCCCCCACATCCCCGCTTTCGAATACCACATTCACCTCACTCAACTTTCCATCTTCATCACAAAACTCACCAATTTCATCATTGTTCTCATTATTTACCTCTCCCACTTCAACATTCTCCTTACTCACTGAAACTCCGTCATGGGTCGGGTCTTTCCCTGTTATTCTATTACTATTCCCAACGGACAAAGGGTCAGTATCCATTGAGAGTTTGTCTTGGTAAGGAACTGTACCATCTTGATTCGGGTCTTGGCCTGAACCCTTGTTCCGGTCAGGGCCTGAAACATAAGGAGCATTGGGCAAAAAGCTCCCTTGGCCCGGGCCTGTATCATATTGATTGAGGCCTTGACCCGGGCCAGGAGCAGAAGGGATGGTGGGCAAAAGGCTAACTTTAACACCAACCAAGTTGGATTTTTTCGACTTGCCAGCGTTAAACGGCGACGTATGAGCAAAATCAGGGTGCCAAAGCTGTCTCGAAAGATCATACAAAGCACGATCATGTGGCGACAACAATGACATATCTAACCCTTTGGACAGACGAGAATAAATCACCCAAAACTTCTTCCTCAACCTACGTAATTTCTCAGAAAGTTGAGATTTCGTATAAGGCTGCGACATGGTATTTGAAAACCGAGTATAAAAAATATTAAGATCACGAGGGAATAAGAGGGAACCATCATCAAGAAGACCTTGTAAAAACCGGATCTCATCCGGTTCAGTCCAAATTCGGTGGAATTTAAATGGTGGCGGTTTTTCCGGGTCCGAACCGGTTGCGGTGGAGGAGATAAATGGGTCGTCGGTTGTTTTGCGTTTGATAGGGAGCTTAGAAGCAGTGTCAGTGGGGGATTGAGAAAGGGGAAGGGTGGAGTCCATGGCTATGAAAAATGTTTAGTTTAATGGGTTGAACAGTTAATTAAGAGATTGATTTTGGATTTAATTTAATTCGATTTGGTTTTTTGGTTATGGCTTGGTTCGAGCGTTACTTTCGGTTTAGGGTGAAGACTTTGTAAAAAGGGAAATACGGATTTTGTTTAATTTTAGTTAATGAATCATGAAACGAGAGGCTAGAGATTTGGAGACATGCTCTTGAGTCTAAAGGTTTCAGGTTGAGTAGGACGAAGACGGAATACCTCGAGCGCAAATTTGGAGTTGAGCCGACGGAAGCGGGAGTTGAAGTGAGGCTTGACTCTCAAGTCATTCCCAAGAGGGGTAGTTTCAAGTACCTTGGATTGGTTATTCAGGGGATCGGGGAGATTGACGAGGATGTCACACACCGTATAGGGGTGGGGTGGATGAAGTGGAGGTTAGCGTCGGGAGTCTTGTGTGACAAGAAAGTGCCACCGTTACTAAAAGGTAAGTTTTATAGAGCAGTGGTTAGGCCTGCCATGTTGTATGGAACTGAATGTTGGCCGGTAAAGAACTCACACATCCAGAAGATGAAAGTAGCAGAGATGAGGATGTTGAGGTGGATGTGCGGGCATACAAGGATGGATAAGATTAGGAATGAAGATATTCGAGAGAAGGTGGGTGTGGCCCCCATGGAGGACAAGATGCGGGAAGTAAGACTCAGATGGTTCGGGCACATTCAGAGGAGGAGCACTGATGCACCGGTGAGGAGGTGTGAGCGACTGGCTGTAGTGGGCACGCGGAGAGGTAGAGGAAGACCTAAGAAGTATTGGGGAGAGGTGATCAGACAGGACATGGCGCGACTTAGGATTACTGAGGACATGGCCCTTGATAGGGAATTATGGAGGTCGAGCATTAAGGTTGTAGGTTAGGGGAGAGTGTGAATATTTCTACAGCACAATAGAGGGAGACTATCCAGTTAGGAGTTAGACTAGGAATGTCATTGGTCGTCTATTGATGCAGGGCTTTCCCTTCTAGTTGTACTATACCAGCCATCTATTTCGTATTTCGTATTTTGTATCCTGTATTTCATATTTCATATCTCTTATATATTCGTATTTTGTATCCTGTATTTCATATTTCATATCTCTTATATGTTGTTGTTGGTATTGTTGTTATTTTTATTACGCATTTTTATGGTACTAATATATCATCTCCTATTGCTTTTTTGAGCCGAGGGTCTCCTGGAAACAGCCTCTCTACCCTTCGGGGTAGGGGTAAGGTCTGCGTACATATTACCCTCCCCAGACCCCACTTGTGGAATTATACTGGGTCGTTGTTGTTGTTGTTTGTTGAATCATGAAACGAATATGGCCATATATATATTTCAATTATGCATAAAAATTGATTTGGACACCATTATTTGTGAATATTGAACTTTGGTTTTTTGAATAATGGTAAAAATTTATTGAAAATATTATTTGAGTAGTATTAAATTTTTTCAAATGAAATAATATCACTCACATAATTTCCATTTTCAAGTGAAACGGCCAAAACACAATTACAACTTTCATTTTTTCCTTACTAAAAAATAAATATCTCCACATGTCCAAATGCCTTGAGAAAAAATATTTGAACTTACTTCTAATTTTTTAATATTATAATTTAAAATTATTTCAGATCGAAATTTCCTTAAGGATTAAATACAAAAATAAAGCAAACATAAGTTTCTATCAAAAAGACGGAATAATATACTAGATCTAAAGTTTAACACAAATTAACTCAATTTGCAGAATAATTTGACCCTTCAGAAAAAAGAAAGGAAAAAAAAAATTCTACTCTCCAACTCCCCTGCCTCGTCCCCAGTTCCACGCCGCCACCTCAGCCAGTCCTCCGTCATCAGCGGCCAGCGCCACCACATACCTCCGTTCCGACCCTTCTTCAGACTATAACAGAAGCCAGTTACCTAGCTATTTTAGCTTCAAATTCCTTCCTATGGTTCAAAAATGAACTTATCACCTCGTATCATTCCCCCTTTAGCTCCCCATTTACTCTTCAAAACTTTCCCTCTCTTAATTCAAACTCGCCACCCTACTTTTTCAACCCTAACTCTTCAAGATTCCTCCAATATAATCACCTCTATATGCAATTCCCTACGCAGAGGTGAAAATTGGGAATACTTAACCAAAAAGTTTCAATCTTTTCACTTCACACCCCCAATTATTCAACAAGTGCTTTTAACCCTCAAAGAACCAAATGATTCCAAAAATGCCCTGAGTTTCTTCCATTGGTCATCAAGAAATTGCAAATTTAAACATGGGGTTTTCACTTATTGCATTACAATTCATATTCTTGCAAAATCTAAGCTTGTCAAAGATGCAAAGGCACTGCTTGAATCTGCTTTGAAAAATGAAAATTTATTTGTTGTTCTTGATTCTTTAATTGGAAGTTATAAGTTAGTTGATTCGTGCCCGTTCGTGTTTGATTTGTTTGTTCAGTGTTGTGCTAAGTTGAGAATGATAGATAAGTGTGTAGATGTTTGTAACTTGTTGGATGAAAATGGATTTATGCTTAGTGTTATTAGTTACAATACTATGCTTCATGTTGTGCAGAAATCGGAAAAGACTAGTATAGTTTGGGGTATTTATGAGTATATGATTGAGAAAAGGATATACCCGAATGAAATGACTACGAGAATTATGATTAGTGCTTTGTGTAAAGAAGGGAAGTTGCAACGATTTTTGGATGTTGTGGAGAGAAGTCATGGAAAAAGATGTCAGCAACCCGGGGTTGTTGTGAATACGTGTTTGATATATGGGATGATTGAGGACGGTAGAATTGAAGGCGGGTTGAGTTTGATGAAGAGAATGTTGCAAAAGAATATGATACTTGATATGATTTCGTGTTCTTTAGTTGTTCTTGCAAAGGTGAAGATGAGAGATTTGGAGTCCGCTTTGGGTGTTTATGATGAAATGCTTAGGCGGGGTTTTGAAGGGAATGCACTAGTGTACGATTCGTTCATTGGGGCGTATTGTGAGGAGAAGCGGATAGATGAAGCAATTAAGCTGATGGATGAAATGGAGTGTTTGCATATGAAACCATTTGGCGAAACATTCAATCATCTGATTAAGGGTTGTTCAGAAGTGGGAAGATTAGAAGAAAGCATGAAATTTTGTGATAAAATGATGGCGAATGGGTTCGTTCCTAGTTGTTTAGCTTTTAACAAACTTGTCGCTAAGCTTTGTGAAAATGGAAGTGCAAAGTCTGCTGATCAGCTATTGACTTCTCTGATGGGTAAGGATTTTGTTCCAGATCAAAGTATCTATACTTACCTCATTGTTGGTTATGCCGACGAAGGTGACATTGAAGGAGCACTTAAGCTTTATTATGAAATGCAGTATAGGTCGATCTCTCCTAATGCTTCTATTTTTGATTCATTGATTATTGCTTTGTGTCAATGTGGGAGATTGAAAGAAGCCGGCGAGTTTTTCTCTTTAATGATTGGTCAATCATTGACACCAAGCATTCATGTTTATAAGAAATTGGTCGCAAGCCACTTGGAGAGGGGCGATGAAACAGGGGCTCATCAGCTGTACAGACAAATACGTAGAGAGATTGGCGACATGCAATAGAGTAGTTTCTGATCTTTCTACTTTACTTGAAATGCAATAGAGCTGTATCAATAAGCAGATTAAAAATAAAATGTTTCTCATAACATTCTTTGTGATGGTATTGGTGAGCTTTGGTTGCCAAGTGGTAACATGATCTTCTCCGCTGTAGGTTGGTTGTTGGTATCATATTGTTTAGTGATGCGATTCATTTCTGAGCGTATAGGAGCCTTTGATAAAAAAAAATGCTTTATCTCAGTGAAGTGCAGCTTCTAGATGAACTTAGACTCTCGGAAAAGAATGATTCAAGCCGTTGGTTTACTACAAGTCGTAAAAGCAAATTTGGAACCAATTCACCACAAAAGAATACGACTGTACTGAGAGGTGCTGATGTTTTAAGTAGAAAGGGTGGTAGTAAAAGGTGAAAATTATTTCAGTATTAAATCAAACTGTTCCTTAACTCTCAGCTGTTGTTTCCCTTGATAGGGGAAAAAATAAGCTGGACGGCAAGGAAAACTTGAGCAAGCTGGCAGAAAATTAACTCCTTCACTGTGTAAGTTGTCTTTACTACTATCTTTTTAAAGTTATCTGATTATCATTATATTCTTTTACTCCTAATATAGTTAGTTGATACAAAGAATATCAATTGCCAAATTTTCTGATGAGCAGTTGATTGCATGGAAACAACATTTATTAGGGATATGCGACTCTTTGGACTAATTCTTTCCTCCCATTTGTTCACTTCACTCTGAGGATTTAAAAAAACAGAAAAAAAGATTCTGAGAAGTTCTTTTTATTGTTGCTATATTTTCACTTCTACTATATAAGGCTTGTACTCTACTATTAGGCATTAGCTAGTAATGGCTCATGATAGGTTGTTATACCCTTGTGCTTCTTTAATATAACTTATTAATATTGGCACAGTGGTTCACACTTTAGTAGTTCAAAGCGGCAGTGATATCAAGTAAGGTGGAGAGTTGTGATTGACCTTCATATAAACCTGATAGGTTGTCGGTTTTGTCCATACTTACTAAACTAGTAGCCAGGTTCATGTGCAGCTATACTGAAGAAATTTAGTAATATGTTAAGGCCTAAGGGGGTATCCATTTCTGCAAATTGAATATCTTGATTCATACTCGACTAGGGTAATGAAACGTACAACTCCAGATATGACATACTGATCTTGTTCTTATCATGCATGACTTCACATCGTATTGATATGTTAACTTGGTTGAAGTTAACTTTGGTTGACTTTATTAATATTAAGAAACTTTGGTTGAAGTTGCGCGAACGCATACCTCGATTTATTTTTAAAATTATAATTATATCACGCGAACATGTACACAATCACGATGATAAATTTAAACATATTCATAATTCTTCCCAAACTTTGAGATTATTGTGAGGCAAGGAGCAAGATCAAATACTAGCCCATTATTATGAACGAAATTCCTTAATTCTAAATAAAGAAAATCTTATCCGGTTAATGTAGTTAGCAAAAAAAAAAAAGAACTTAAAGCTTATAAAAAAGAATCTAAGTCTTCGTAAGCATAGACAAAGGCAGTAAGCAAAATGGCATGGAAAAATCTCCCATGAATTACAACTTTTAACATACAAAACCAAGGCAATATTCAACAATTTAAACAAAATTCCATAAGCTCTACGTAAACTAATCATGTGTGCATTTGAAAGCTTAAACAGACAGAAACTATAAAATTATCAACTCGGCAAATATTTAACAATAACTTATAGGCATGTTGATTAATAAAAATTGAAGAAAAGAGAAAAAATAAAATAAGAACGAACCTCAAATCAATAAACTTTTTTCAATATTCAAAAGGGCAAATTTGTACAACACAGTATCGTTCTGACAGCCAAAGTGAAATTTCATCAATGGAATCCGGATCGAAAACCTCGTCGTTCGACTCAAAGTGCGACAACTTGTCAAGCACGAGCAAGAACTTGGACTGAAACTCAGCTCGACTAAGATGCCAAATCGACTCCGTCCGATGTCGTACGTGAGTGAATCAGTTCCGACAAAAAGACGACGGTGGTGAATTTGGTTTTGGTGATTGACGACGAAATGGGTGGAGCTACAGTGGGGACCTGCTTCAGAAGTTATGGTTTGATCTTTTCCCTTCAAAGTATTCTTGAGTGAATCCTCATTTTGAAGTGGAAATTACAGTGCATTTGTATGGAAAATTTCTTTGCTTTCTCCCCTCTATCCGTTGTTGCTCACTGTCCTCCCTATTTCTATGTGTGTGTATTTAGGTGTAGGTCCTATTATATAGGGGTAGGATTTAGGTTAGGGGTATGGGCCTAAGAGTTATGGGCTAGGAAATTGGGCCAAAGACTAAAAAAATGGACTACAAGATTAATAAAGACGGGGTAAACCAACCCAAAACTAATTCCTCCTTCTAAAATTATATACAATTATAATTAAAAAAATATATAATTAATTTTAATTAATTGAACTAAACTATATTAAAATATGAGACTATTTTTGTATTTTCATGATTATATATAAAAATAAAAATAAGCTACTATTTTTGTATATTTTTTATTTAAATTTATGAAAGATGCGTAAACTAAAATATTTTTGTAATTTTTATTTTTTGTGACGAAATAAAGTAAAAAAGTCAAAATTAGTGGAAATAGCTATATTAGGCCTAAATTAAAATATTTACGTGCTAAAATATAAAAAAATCTTGGGGAGGGTAAAAAATTACATGTCTACAAGGACCAGATGGATTACATCCATTTTTCTACCAAAAATACTGGAAGGATGTAGGTGTGAAAGTAACCACTTTTTGTCATATGTATTTATTTCTAAAACTGTGCCACTTGAGCTTAATAAGACTCTCTTATGCCTTATCCCTAAGGTAAAGCATCCTACAAGAATAACAATTTAGGCCAATCAGCCTTTGCAATACTGTTTATAAGCTAATTACGAAGATAATAGTCAATTGGCTTAAACCAATCATAAGTAAAATTATAGGACCAACACAAACTAGCTTCCAACAATGTAAGAGAGCTTGCGATAATGCTATAATAGTCCAAGAAGCTTTAAATTATCTTGCTAGAATGAAAGGGAAATATCCTTCAATGTTATTAAAACTTGATTTAGAGAAAGCTTTTGATAGATTAGAATGGTCTTTTATAAGACATGCTTTATTTTACTTTAATATTCCCCCTTCATTGATTTCTTTAATTATGTCATATGTTACAACTACATCGGTTTCTATTTTAATTAATGGTTCAAGCACACACTACTTTACACCCTCAAGGGGTATCCGTCAAGGAGATCCATTATCACCATATTTATTTATCATGTGCATGGAATTATTGTCTAGAAATATTTTACAATCAGTGGACTATCTAAAATGGGAACCAATTCGACTATCTAACAAAGGCCCACTACTATCTCATTTTTTCTTCGCAGACGATATTATACTATTTTCAAAAATAACTACTAAAAGCTGTCATGCGATCATTGATGTGTTAAATAACTTTTCAGAATACTCAGGGCAAAGAATTAATTTTGATAAATCAAAAAATTTCTTCTCCAAAAATTGTGGTCCTACTGAAAAGGATTTTATTATCAATTCATTTAGTATGAAAGAAGGCACCTCTTTTGGAAAATATTTGGGATTCCTCATATTCCAAGCAAAACCTAAAAATACAGATTTTCAGTTCCTACTTAATAATTTTAAGAATAAATTAGCAGGATGGAAGTCTAAATTCCTAACACTAGCAGGAAGAGCTACCTTAATAAAATCTACATTAAACCAACTACCTAATCATTTAATGCAATATATACACATTCCGTCTCATATTCTACACAAGTTAGATCAGTATCAACGAAATTTCTTATGGGGTACTACATTAGAAAAAAAGAAACTACATCTTGTCAAATGGAATGATATTACTAGGCCAAAAAATATTGGAGGATTAGGAATTCAAAATTTACGTGATAAAAACAATGCTTTATTAGCAAGTTTAGCTTGGAGGCTATTCAACTCACCAAATGCTATGTGGTCTAGGGTCTTACTGTCCAAATATATTCATACTTCTCCTATTAATAATCATTCTCATATTTGGTCTAATATAACTACTGGTTGGCATCTATATCAGCTAGGTATAAAATAGAATATAGGAAGAGGCACTCACATTAAACTTTGGGATGATCCATGGATTGCGCCTGGTACGACCATCAGATCAGTTATTTATGGTCCCTTACCCTTAGAGAATCAAAATATGACTATCTCTTCCTTTATGGATAACGAAGGATGGGATTGGAATAAACTGCCCTTTGAGATGCCCAATAACATTACCCAACTAATTCAATCTACTTATATCTCGAAATACAATAATAAAGCTGATAGTATTTGCTGGGGTTTAACTCCTACGGGTCTTTTCAGTACTAAATCTATGTATGGTATATTAGATGCACTTCATAATATTTTTACTCCTACTTATATAAATTCTGAGTGGATATGGAAGTTACCGGTCCAACCCAAAATCCAAGGGTTCATGTGGCTTCTTCACAAAATGAGGCTACCCACTAAGGACTATCTCAAACATATCAATGTAATTCAAGATGCTACATGTCAATATTGCCATAAGACAGATAAGAACATTAATCACTTATTCCTAGAATGCACAAGTGCTAAAACATATTGGCAGAATTTAGGCATGCTTGAATTCATAAATCATCATTTGCAAGGAACACATGCTTCTAATTGAGTTCATCAACTTATAACTTGCAAGGACCTTCACTTTCCATACAAAATAAATCCAGCCACATACTTGTCTCTAAATTTATGGAATATTTGGGTAGCACGTAATAATAATTGTTATAGACATTTTACATCCACTGCTTCTACTAAATTAACTACTCAACAAGCAGCCAAATTCACATATTTTGCAGCTAAAAAGCACACTATTAGGAAAAAGAGACAATGGAATCTTAAATGGAAACCTCCAAAATATCCTTTCTATAAATTAAACACTGATGGAGCCCATACTTTGGGCAAATCTGGTATTGGTGGCCTGATACGAAATGTAAATGCTGATTGGATATTAGGATTTGTAGCAGCACTAACAACGGATTCACCATACAGAACTACGTGCTTTGATACAGGGTCTCCAATTAGCTCTCGGGCATAATCTTGTACAACTGGAAGTGGAAGTGGACTCAAAGGATATCATAAGGCTCCTTTGTAACGACCCGACCAGTCGTTTTGAGCACCGGCGCG